CCAATAGAAATTGTTTCTGGCTCTAATACACAGACTGTTTCTAGATTTCCAACATCCCAAAATTTGGGAGAATTTTAATCCAAGATTCTGATTTGGTCTATTTTAGAAAAAGTATCAACTGCAACATTCATATGTCTGTATTATCTAGATTTCCCCTACAGTTTCAGAGTATTTGAAACCTAGAGTTTGCCTTGGGCTCATCTTTAGTTATATATAACATCACTAATTATTACAATGAGCCTGATCAACTATGAATGCTATTTGTATATTCTTGGGTATTTCGCTGATCTTGGCTGGAGAATTCTCACCATCAGTTCTCATACAGAACTCACTGAAACTAGTGGAAATACTTAAATGTAATATTAGGGAGAATCACAGAATCATAAAAAAGTCCTGGAAAGGACCCCAGGAGGTCATCTAGTACAACCCCATGCTCAACGCATGATCATCACTACCCAAACGATCCTATACAAGTTCTCGTCAAAAAGTCCTGTTACACAACAGCAAAACATCCTACAGTCCATGCTGATCTGACCATGGAGAAATGTGCCTGATTCCAAATGTGGTTGATCAGTCCAACCCTAAGAAGCAGGGCAAGACCTCAAATTAGGAACCTCTAGGTTTTAGTTCCAGAAAATACGTCGGCTCACCCCCGCCACAATGCCCAACCTTGGCTGCAGCCAACACCCATGGCTTCTGAGGAAGGAAGAGAAAAGTGGGAGGGGAAATAATTCCTTCTTGGCCCCATGTTGCAACCAGCACAGCCCAGAAGCATTGGAGAAAACACATGAAATATTGCTTTTTAATTAATAAATTATAATTAATATTCTGTATTCATGCAAAAATAAATATTTAGTCCTAACCATCTGAATTATAAGAAGACTTCATGTAACACTGGTTACTGAGGTATCGTTTATATTTCAGTTAACTATGGGTTAATTTTAGTATGTCCTAATCCTTTGGTGAAATATCACATTTGAGTTCAGTACAGTTTCCATCTCCAGTTTTGAAATGTATCCCACAATTGTATAGGTGTGACCCACTGTCAGGCTGTTTTACCACGCATGTGGCATGGGAGTACAGCAAATGTGAACAGTAACCACTCTGCATGTGGCTGGTTTGGGTTGTTTTTTTTAAAACGAATCTGTCTGAGAGATCAGATTACTATGTGAATAAGTGCAGGTGCTTTTATTACAAAGTGATGAAGTGCAACTTCTGTAGATGCACCCCACACCATTTAAAATAATTGACCACTTTCTCAGAGATATTTAGGGTTGCTTCCATGCAGCAACTTTAAAAGTGAACTGTTCAAGGATGAGAAATGTTAAATATGAAGCCTCAGGTCACTCATGTGTGGTTTTTCAAGCAAGCACCAATGTGTTTGCTTTCAGGCTGATCCTCACATTGCGAAGAACTCCCAATAGACATCTGCAAAACTATCTCATCATACTCCTTCAAATCCCCCATTAAAATTTCCCTCTGCCATTGTGATCATTTGCTGGTGCTCCTTGTCTGTCCATACCCAATTGTTCTCTATTGTCTTATATTAAGATTGAAATATTTTTTGAGGCATGGACTATCTTTTTGTTCTGGTTTCATACAGCACAAAGCACAATGGGGTCCTGGCCTGTGACTATGTTCCTCAGTGCTAGGCTACTCCAAATAATTCAGGGGAATGACAGTAAAGATCAACAGCACTCCCCTTTTCATTATGGCTAAGTACAGATGTTCAAAAAGCCTGAGGTGAAAGCGCTATAAGTATCCAGCTTTACTCGAAGTGCTTTAGATTAGGTTAGGAGTGAGCAGAACAGATGTTCACTGTTTGGTGGGGAGGGGCTCAGAGCCTGCTTGCATTGGCTGAGGCAAGCAGGCTAGGGGTGCTCCAACACGCCTCCCAGAAGGCTGCTGGAGAATGCTGAGGCCAGCCAAGCAGCCAGCCATGCCTGATTAACTAGTACAGCCCCTCGCCCCAGCCCTGCCCCTCAAACTAGTTGGCTGCTGTCAGCGCCAGCAGCTGGTGGGCAAGGACGGGGAATGGAGCCCCCTGCCATCTCGGTTGCCCCCAGCTTGCTGGGTCAGGTCTTGGAGGGCCTGGGCTGGCCCCACATGGCAGGGGGTCTCCATTTCCACCCCCCACCAGCTCCAGCCTCTTGACAGCTGAAGCTTGGAGGTGCATGTGGCTTTTAACTGCACCAGGAACAGCTGCACCAGGGTGCGCAGGTGGGAAAACAGAGCCCCCCTGCCATGTGCCCCTCTCCCTGCCCCCCTGCTTGCTGGGTCCTGGGTGGGGATGCATTCTGTTCCACTGCCCGCCTGCCCCTACTTCCCAGGACAACAAAAAGCCGTGCACGGCTCCAAGCTGCAGCCATCAAGGGACTGGGCAGCAGGGGCAGGAGAAAAGGAGCCTCCCTACTGCATGGGCCTGGCCTGGCCCAAGCTAGCAAGCTGGGGAGATGGACACATGGAAGGAGAGGGTTTTGTTCCTCCCCCACCCCAGCCTCCTGACAGCAGCAGCTCACAACTGTGTATGGCTTTTCATTGCATCAGGAGGCTGGGGTGGGGAAACCAGAGCCCCCCTGCCATGTGGACCCAGCTTCCCCCACAAGACTTGAGCCAGCAGGCTGAGGGGGAGGGGGGTGAAATTGAGGGGCTCCAATCCCCTCCTTCCCACCTCCAGTACCTGGTGCTGTTAAAAGCTGTGTGCAGCTCTGAGCTGCATCTGTCAGAAGGCTGGGGTGGTGGTGGGGAACAGAGCCACCCTGCCATGTGGACCCAGTCCAGCCCCACCAAGACCCAAGCCAGAAAGTTGGGGGCAGGTCACAGCAGGGGCTCTGTTCTCCCTCCCCTGCCTGGCCACACAGGAGGGAGACAGAAAAGGTTCTGTCTCCTCTCTGATAACCTGGGGTCAGGGCTGGTCCAGTGCTCACCCAAAACAGATGGGCACTGGCCAAGGCTAGTGTGCTGTTAGGGGCCCCTGGGAGGCTGGTAGAATGCGACCTACCTTGACTCACAACGGGATCTGGTACAAATGTTTGATAAAGTGCTCTAACCTAAAATCATTTAGTCTGATATCACATCCATCCAGGGTTAACTTAGAATGGGATCTGCCATTTTTAAAGTTCTTTATGTGTCATGAATGTCTGTTCTGTTATGGCTGTAGAGTGCTTTCTGCATGCGTATCACACAATAAGTGTAGGCTAGTAGGACTTGGTTTCTGCATTGTACTGTTTGGTTACATTCATGACAAAGACAGCAGCCCCAAATCCCAGCCATTTGTAATTACCCCTCTCTCACAACTCCAATAAAGTCTAGTTAACAAACTTGGACAACATTTTCCAGGCTCTTTGGGGCCCCATCCAACACTTTAAAACAGACAAATTCAACTAAGCTTCTGAAAGGAAGAGAGAGTCCACATTGTTCTGTATTACTGTATGAGTGCACTTTCACCTTGGCTACGTAGGAAACTTGCCTCCTAAACTAGGCACAATTACATGAAAAACAAATGTCTTGCGCATGTCAATTGGAGATTGTATTTTAACCATAAAAATCGACATAGCTTGTGAACAAACAATTGCTATATAGTG